CGTGGGGCACGAGAGGGTGAGGAGTGGCGAAGTCGTGGCGCGGGAGAGACCGGTGGAAGCATAAAGTCGCGCAGAAATCGCTCTCGTTTGTTGAGTCGTCCGTAAAAGGCGGCGAAGAGGCGGACGTAAGGCCGCATACCGATAATTCCACGGAGTGCTCTGTGGAATTTATGAGGTTTAATCCTTTGCGGAATCCAAGAGTGGCGGCCTTCTCTCCACCCTCCTGCCTCTGTGTGTATACGCGATGGCGGCAGCGGCGGTGGCGGTTCAAGGCCCAAGTCGAACACACCCCGAGAACCGAGACCCGACGATGCGGCGGCTACCGTCGGAGATGACGGGTTCAAAGTGCAGGAGGAAGAAAGCTTCGCTCTGCCTCACGGCGAAAGAGCGAGCTTTAACGCCGGGCAATAAAACCGTGGAGTGGCGTAATGTCTATACGAGTAGTGATGCCCATGAGTATAATACCTGACAGAGGGACAGAGAGAGAGAGAGAGAGAGGAGGGAGTGGGAGAGAAGGAGCGGAGATGCATGTATACAGTACTTTCCTCACACTGCGCGAAGCGGAGGTTATGCGGCGAGCGAGAGAGCGATGGTGCGCTTATTTCCTGCGTTATTCGGCGAAACGTAAAGCGGAAATTAAAGCCGATAGACCGGGTAATGGCGCGGCGGGTATAATTATGTTCGTTTCGCGTCTCTCTTTCGCGGGTCCGCCGCACGAGGACTTATTTGCATATCGGCCGAGTTAAATCGTTGCAACGCGAATTATGTATCCAGCGTGTATTTTTGGTCGGCGGGATAGCGTCGGACAAACGACGCGCGGACGAGGGAGGATGAACGGGGGAGAGAACGGCAGTCGACACAGGCGGGCGACGAGGGGGGGAAGGGGTTGTATCGGGCGCGGAGCGGTTCATTTCGCGGTGATACGCGATAATTTACGCGGAAAATTATTCGCGAGGTCAAAACTGTTGTTACTAGGTAATCGTGTTGATCGTGTAAATATTTAAGTTACGACATCGCGCCGCGCGCGCGCGCGGGCGTCGCATATCGCCGACGAAATCGCGAATCAATCTACGGAACGACGCGCGAGACAACTTGTCCAACGTTTCCTCCGGTCGTTTCTACCAGCGATAAAACGAAAACCATCATCTTCGATAACAATTAGTCGCGTCACGATTGAGAATCACCTGAAATCGATAACACGAGTGCGAAAACGTCGTTTCTTTTCCTGATAGCTTGCATGAAACATCCCCATAGCGCACTGTTCTTTCCCTCCCTTGCACCCTTCCGCCCTCTCTCTCTCTCTCTCTCTCTCTCTCTCTCTCTCTCTCTCTCTCTCTCTCTCTCTCTCTCTCTCTCTCTCTCTCTCTCTCTCTGTCCTCCATTCTTTCTCGCACTACCGCTTGTGCATCGTGGTTTTTCGTTTCGAGGGCGTTACACAGAAGCATTGAAACTTCTGCCGGGCCAATTAAAAATAATTGAATGCAAAATCCGCTTTAATTCGCCAACTTTCAGACGGCTTATGATAGCGGCTTGTAATTATGTTCCCGCGAGCTATACGTGTGCGAGCGAGGTTCGCGCGCTTGAGCGCGTCCGCGTGCACTCTGCTAAAAGTGCACGATGTTCTATCTCTCTCCTCCTCTCTCTCTCTCTCTCTCTCTTTCCCTCGCGCGCGCGCGCGCGCGCGTTTTTAGCACCGAGCCTTTATATTTTTACGACAAGTATGCATCACTCAGCCATGACGGAGATACGACGAAAGATATGGGTACGTCGCGCTACGTGTCGAGCTTTTACACCGGTCGGGAGAGGGGGGGGGGAAGGGAGCGGCAGGAGACGACGGAGGGTGCGGACGATAAAAGCGACTACCCGGGAAAAAAAGCAAAGTGCTCGTACCGCGATTTATTGTAATCACCACTAAAACACGGTATGCGCAACAATTTGCAGTGACGTTTAGCGATGCGGATTCAGTGTGCTCGTCGATTGTCGTCGACACGTGGTCGTCGTCGTCGTCGTAGGCGCCACCGGCATAGTCGTTCGCGATACGTGAACAAATAGTCGGAGGGGATGAAATGAGAGAGAATCGGGCGTATAAACGTTACGGTTACGTGCCCTCGCGTGCCTCGAATTCTCGTCGTTAATGCTTTACGCCTTTTGTGACGAACCGGAGAAAAGAGAGAGAAGGACCTTATCGATCACACCGGCTCGCGCGTCGCGGCGCTCCTCCTCATCGTCGTTGTACGTTGTCGTTGCCCGTCGCTCATTTACCACGAGAACGAGCGTGCCCGATGCGCGTCGGAGCTCGCTACGTAGTACGGAGTAGTAACGCGGACGATAAAAATCCCGCGGGGAATAGCGCTTCGCGGAAGACGCATGCCCGTAAATAGGGTGCGTCACTTACGCGCCATTATTGCCGAGGTATTTCAGCGACGTTGAATTGTAACGCGTGGCAGTTCGCGCTTACGAAAATTGGGTATCCGCGAATTGAATCGAACGCCGACGCGACGCGTCGGGAGACGCATGTTTGCGAGACGACGAAATTTATAATTGACGCGCTCGCGCGTATTCGTGCTCGCAGCCTTGCGCGTAAAAACCGCGCTCTTCGTCATTCTCATTCATCGTTCGTCGCAGTTGTCGCACATACGACGCCGTTAAGTGCACACGCCCGATAAAAGAGGCCCCCCCCGTTCGCATGCGCGGGCAAAAAGAAGGATGGCTTTTCGATAATTTCCGCGGCGCCGACGAAATAGACGTCCCCTAGTCGACATTCGACTTCGCTTCTCGTAAATTGCAGTTTTCAACGAGAATCGTGCGCATCTCCCCCCCCCCCCTCCTCGATTTCTCTCGCTTCTTTTTTTTCCCTGTTTGTTTCACGCGCGAGGGCACACGCGTTATCACCTCACCGGGCCGAAGAGCTCGCCTATCGACGTTTTTATTACCGTCGTCATCATGCATGGCATGCACGCGTTCACGCGCGTGTCGCCGCTAATATTCCGCTCGTGCGCGCGTGCACGTCGTCGATTTTGATTTCCTCTCTCTCTCTCTCTCTCTCTCTCTCTCTCTCTCTCTCTCTCCTCCCCTCTCTCTTTCTGTATATATTTTATATCCTACCACGCCGGGTCGATGGTTTTTCGCCTCGGTGGTTGGCCGCGATTCGCTGCTATTTTTCGAGCCTGAAAGAGCAGCACGCTTTCCGAGGTACTCTCGGAAAATTTGTGTTCTCTCATAACAAGATGAACGCCCCCACTCGTGCGCGTTCATATACGACACAAAGAGATTTTCTCGCGCGTGCGCGCGTCACTCGGCGTAAGGAACATCAAGCTCCTTGCTCGTTAAGAGTATTAATTCCCTTTGTGGGAGCGCATTTCGCGCGACGCGTTAGTAGCTTTTCACCCGCAACCGGCGGATGGAAGAAGGGTGAAAAAGGCGAAAGAAGTATCCGACTCCGGGAGGTGGGAGATAATAAGGTCGTGACACTCTCGATGAGCATCGGCGCTCGCGGGAAAGGGAGTGAGAGCCAATTTCAGGTGCACTTCGTCGATACCGCAGATCCACGAGCGAAGACGCTCGGGCAGAGGCGAAAGAAACCGCGATGACTTTCCGTCGTCGCTGCCGTCGCCGAGATCGAGACAGAGAGAGAGAGAGATCGAGAGAGAGAGAGATCGAGACAGAGAGAGAGAGAGAGAGAGAGAGAGAGAGAGAACGGATTTTCTCCCTCTCTGAGAATTTAATAAAAATCCAAGAGCTTCCGCGGAACACACCGAGCTTAGGCGACGCGCGTCACTCGCTGTTTTCCAGCCGGGGAGCATTATGCGTTTCGGCTCCACTGCCGTGCGCTGCATGGTCCTTCAATGTCGTCTCGCTCCGCTTTCTTCCGCCGTGAATTTCTCCCGTGTTTCTCTCCATTCGGCCCGCGATATTTCGCGGAGACGTTTCCAGTCGGCCCGAATCACCCCCGGACAAATTGCGTCGGCAAACGGCGCTTTGGCGAGCCATTTCGCGGGAATTGAGGCATTTGTTATAAATATCGGCAATACCGCCGGCGCGCACGGTTTGTTACTTCGTTACCCGTTCTAGTCAATCGCGCGTAACACACACGGGGATTGAAAAATCAGCGATTTTTCGATTCCTCGAAAGGACGCTCGAGAATCGCGTAATACGAGTCATCGCTGATGCCTTTCGCCGGCAACGAACGAGAGAATCCCGCTACATGCAAAACGTCGCCTCGCGACTTTAGTCGCGCAAACTGCGTGGAAGTAACAGGAACACACGGTGAAAGTAGGAAGAAATCGCAGGGGGTGCGCGTGGCTGCGGGATAAACGCAGTCGAAGTCGAGGGCCGAGCCGAGCTGTTTGGCTGGCTAGCCGACTGGTTGGCTGGTGGGTTAAATACTTTGCCCCTTCGGTATTCAGCTTCGTTTACCCGGCAACGCGGATTTTCCCTTTGGTCCGATTCGCGAATGCATTCCTTTTGCGCCGATTCGCCGAAGGTGAAACGACGGCGGGAGCGGTCGGTTGGTTGGTCGGTCGGTCGGATCGATTGTACCCTTTGGATTTATCCTCCTGAGAGACCGCAGGCGGTGTTATACTTTGTAACTACGGCGCAACAACGGTGGAACTGCGAAGCTTGGCGAGTTTCGGCGATCCGGCGATCCGCCTCTTAAGCTCCGCGCGGAAAATCGGAAGGGTCTGCTCTTGATATTCCGAAAGGATCGATCGATCGTGTGAGCGAGCGTGCGCACGCTCTTTGATCTCTTCATGCAAGCGCGTTATCAACTGCGCGAATCACTCCTGTTCGTGGCGAAAAAATTGCACACTGAAGAATCGCGTGAAACGAATCGCGGTCGCGACCAAGTATCCGTTCTCGATCTGCGGAAGAATTGTCGAGAAGGAGAGAGAGACAGAGAGAGAGAGAGAGAGAGGGGGGGGAGAGAGAGAGAGAGAGAGGGCGAAGTGCGTGACTCCGCGCACGAGCGGAGCGCAGTGTGTAATTAATGATGTACTCACGGTGCATTTCAATCGCCACCGACGTCGAAACGGGTTGACTGATATTATTGTTGGACGCTTGACAGTCAAACACCGCGTGCAGATCCGCTCTCGACAGTTCATGGACGACCAGGGTGTTCCTACGTAGCGACGGAAACTCGCCCGGCTCGTCCTTGGAGTCCAAGAGCGTCTCGCCACGCCACCATCTCACTTTCGGTTCGGGTCGACCTGAAAAAATAAATGGAAAAAATAAACCCATATGAGATTTGTTTGTCGGACTCGTTGAAACGACCCGACAAGCGACAACAGGTTCATCATTCAGGTCGATCTAATGCCCGCTTCCGCTAATATCGATTAAACTCCTTAAGGGGAGTTCAAATTTGGTAACGGACAAAAATACGAACTCAGATAAAGGTTCGATCGAATCATTAATAGAAGCGACCACAGATGAGAGACGCTAGAGAATATTATATATGTAAATACAACAGCATATTTCCAACCGCGTCTTGCATTTTTACTTCTCGCTGTCTGCGAGAAATGGGAGCAACGTTAACAGTCGCGCTAAAAGTAATCCCGATCAACGAGGTCATCCTCGTCGCGCGATATATCACAAAATTTCACTCCGACTAATTACGACTGTCTGTGCGCGCAGCGCACTGACTCTCGCGACGCTTTTCACCGCGGCGACTGGTCTCGCGTCATATCGGCAACACTATCCACGCGATGTATCGCGCGCACCGTTATCTTACAACCCTCCGCAAGCGTTCGCCGGGGGGGTTCCCGTGCATACACATGCATGCACACACCCTCTCGCGATCCCTCCCTCCGCATCAGTATATTGGCTACGCGGTACGCGTTAATTCATAATTCATAATGGTCGTTGCGTGCGGATAATCCCCCGAGGGTGAATATCCCTATTAAAGCAGGAGGAGGAGGGACGGAGGGAGGGAGGGAGGGAGAGAGAGAGAGAGAGAGGAAACGAGACGGCGCGGTGAGAGTCGAAGGGGCGGTCTAGCAGGCCGGGGCGACCTCATTATTTTTTACCGGGCCTATTTTCGTTCAGGAGGGACAAGCGGAAAAATGCGGAGGTAGCGACCCGCAGGGGGTGGAGATGTCGGTAGCGGGAGGGGGAGACAGCGCGAACGGGTGGTGGGTGCCGAGAGTTGTAGGAGGAAAGGGAGCAGCGTAGCTGGTTGCAGGCAGCGGCGGCGCGGCGGTGAAGAGTGTAACAACACGCCGGGGGTATAGTTGCGCTCGCAAGCGCGCTCGCGTCCCTCGGGTGGCGGCATGCGAGGTAATAAAAATAAATTTATTATTATTATTGCCTTCGCCATGCCGACACAGCAGCGCGTGCGCGCCGGCCGGATATTAAAATGTAATAGAATAAAGGGAAGCAGGGCTAAACGAACGCGCGTACATAGTATACATACACGAGAACGCGCGCGACATCCCCTATAGAGCAGCCGCTCGGTTTCGCCGAAGCGTTTAACGATCGTCGTCGACGATACTTCTTCAACTCCGCCCGGTCACACGGGAGAGTAGATGACGCGCGGCAGATATCGCGATTGGTACCTGCATAGCGCCGATATTCTCTCGTCGCGGTCCGTTAACGGCTTTTCTGACTGATCGGACGCAGAAGCGGGATGGTCGCGCAGAGAGCGCGACCGAATTGAGTGTGAGGAAAGAGCGCGAGCGATGCGGAGGAGGAGAGAGCATTCTTTACTCGCAACTCCGTTCCGAACGAGGCCGTGTGAAAATTGTAATTGGGTGAAAATTATAATTCTCATAAAGGCTCCGAGATTAGCAATCGAGAATAACGAGCGAAAGAAGGGGCTCGTTAAAACCGGAAATGTGTAATTTCTTGTTTATAATGAGGTACAATCAAACTTTTAGATCCCGCGAATCCTTTAATTGTACCTTATTATAATACAAGAGATTGCGTTTTCCTATATACTACAAGCGCACAATTATTCAATAATTTACAGAGTCTTTTTTCGTTGATTATTTTTAATTAGACGCCATCAAGGCAAAATACGTAATGTGACGACGCCAAAGCGCGCTGGGGAACGGCTTCGCAAGATCCGTTTGATTCGGTGGATCCAAAGGAATCTGTTCCCATCGGCCGTACCAATTATTCTGCGGCTCTCTTTTAGCGCGGCGTATTTACGCGAGAACAGCCTCAAAAGAATACTCAGACATATTTTCATTCGACCTGTCTCTCCATCTATCTCACGCCGTCGTTTTTTCCTTCTCATTACGGAAAGTAGGGCTTACCCCCGGAGACGAGGCACTGCAGTCTCATGTCACCGCCTTCTTCGTAAGGGCCGGCGACCGCCGGGACGGCCTTCCCGTGTTCGTCGATGATGTTCGGCTTGTGTGGCGGTACTGTAACAGAGCAAGGCAAAGAGGGAAATGAAACGTCGGGCTCTGTCGTTGCGACGAGCGCGGTAAGCATCTCGCTGGACGCGCTTAACATTAAATAGAACGAAGTAATTATCTCGAGGAGAGACAAGCGCGCGCGTTGAACTTTCGTAATATTGTCGCGAATAGAGGAAATTCCCGCTGTGCATAAATTTGATACAAATATCTATATATATATATATAAAGAAAATTCATGCAAAATTTTTCTCCCAATATCCTGCTAATTTACTCTTAATAACACATGAAGTCAATTGAATTTGAATTCAAATTTAAATTAAATTAGATTTTATTTTATCTTATTTTTTTTTTACTTAATTATTTTGTTTTATTTACATATAAATTTTCATATATATGATGCGATACAATCAAACGCGCTTTTGCACACATCGCTTTTCTTCACGGTTGTATCTTCGGGCACCAGCGCCACATACATACCTAGACACACACACACACACACACACACACGCTTGGTACCAATCGTTTCGAAGTGGCTTCGAGCCTGACCGCGTCCGACACCACTACGCGCTATTCGAGCACAGATAGCGAACTTTCCATGTAAGTCGGTGCCGGGGGCGCCGTCAGGGTAGGAGTAGTAATTCACGATACTCGTGCCACAAGCACCGCACGAACAGTCGAACAAGCATGTATAGGTGTTACAGGTAACCGCTGGCAACTCACACGGCTCGTTCGCGGACGAGTGCCGGCACGAAAGTGCGCGCGATCCGCGTCTCTCACGTCGCGCGACGATGGTAGTTTGACAGAGACCCGGGTCAGAGGTCGAAAGACAGAAGGATCGGGACGCGCAGTATGTATTATCCTGCGACTGTCGTGACGCGCCGTACGGTATTTTTAATCTAGAGGACGATATTTAACCAACGAATATAATTTTGTAGTCGTCTATACTCGCACCTTCAAGATCGAATTGGACTCAGCACCATTTTTCGATCATCGCGCAGTCGAACAGAGAACAGAGATTATATTAACGAACGGGCGTCTGGGAAAAAAAGTCGATATATATTTCGCGGTCGACAAGACGCGTATCTCACGAGAGATACGCGTCTTGTCGAGATATTAATAATACATACTAATTAACGGTATTCCCTGAACGAGCCGAGCTCCCTTTCGCGCTGTTTCCGACTTGACGTATGCCGCGGCGACGGCGGCGAGGAGTCAGCTTTCACCGTAAGTGAATACGTATCGGGCGCGATCCTTTTGAGATACCCCGGCAACCTGCTATTATGTCAGTAATTCGCGCGTCTGCCGAGCGCGCAATAAAGCATTTTGCGTGCAGGGAAACAATGTGCGCGGCTCGCGCGCGCCGCGCTGAGGTATCAAAAGGGCACGTAAGGAGGGAAGAGGGGGTGGAGGGCGGGCGGAGAGAGAGAGAGAGAGTCGCGCGGAAACTGGAATCGCGCCGCTTGTGTATAGTTCATTCCGACACGCGCGGACGGCTGGTGGAATGGGCGGGTGTATGGCTCGGCTTGTGGAAGCGGTGTGGCGTGTAAACGCCGGCAATTGAATATCGGAAATAGCGGCGTGTCGGGACGTCAGGAGGCGAGCGAGCGAGCGGCGCGTTCCTTCCTCGAGGATAGGCTGCGAGTCGCGGTCAGGACGTGTCGGATGTTATACGCGTTCAGAGCGAAGCGTTCGTGACAGCGCTGCGAAAATTCTGCCGCCGCGCCGGCCGGCCAGCAGGGACGAGAATCGCGAGCGCGACTGCGATTCTTTCCCCTCAGCGAGAACGGCCGGGCAGTGTCAAAATACAAATTCCGGACGCTCGCTGTGATTCCGCGGAATAATGCGTGGATTTGCAATTAATCAAATTTTTTGATTTAGTCGACGGTCGTCGCACCCCCGAGGGCTTTACGCGCGCATCCGCGCGCCCGAGCGCGAGCAAGCGACGGTCGTTGCGTTCGCGCGCAGTCACTAATTATCGCGTGTAATTAAGAATCGCGTTGGAACGCGGCTGCGAAAGTTTATTTGTTCCGTTTTATAATTATCTCTCCCTCCCCTGCTCCCGCGGCCGCCGCAAAGCGCTCAACACGAGGGGTAACGCTCGCGGGAGCGGAGCGGAGCGGAGCCGGACAAATTGAACCGGTGAACCGAATAGGAAATAAATTGGATTAACACGGACGCCGAAGTTAAGCCACCGGTCGCGATACCGGGCGCGAGCGTGCGAGGGCAGGTGAGAAAGTCCCGATGTGAAAACGTTATCCGATACCATCTGAAAATAGCGCGGAGTGAAGTACCACTGAAAACGTGGATTATTGTATCCGTCATATATATATATATATATATATATTGTATTGAGCGTAATCGATACATTAGTGGATACCTCGATTATAACTGCGGCCACTCTCTCCTCCTCCCTCGCATTCTCTCGGTCTTTTCCCCTTAATTAACCTCCTACGCGGCAAGCCCGCTCTATATGGTGGTGGCGGGGTGAAAAATATGTTTAAGATCATACAATATTGACTACCAATGATATCTCGGAGTTTCTCAAGTCGCTGATCACGAATCTGAATTCAAAATTTGTAATCAGCGACCAAACACTCTCTGAATTTCATCGAAATCGAACTATTTTTATTTCCCTACCATTTTTAGGACACAAATAATTGTGCTTGCCGTATAATGAATTAATACCGCGCGAAAACCGGTGCTATCGAGCTGTCACAATCGCGATATCAATCGTGATGTGATTTGCAGCGCGCGACTGCGGCGAAACGATGCAAAATGCTCCTTTTCACGGATAACATTGTCAGCTTTGAGGACGAGAGAAATGCGCCGAAAGCTCACGGTTATTTTTTACGTTCCCTATTGAGAATTTGCGAAATTATTTTCCCCGACCATTCGTTTGCGCTCTTTCGTTCATCTGCGCAATCCGTTCGTCGATCGATTGATCAAATCGATCAATCATATGTTTTTGAAAAAATATTTTTCTTCTCCGCACACTTCTTCTGTGTATTTTATGATTTTAATATTTTAAATTTATTGTTTTCTACAAAAATGAGATTGTTGTACAATAATTTCTTTTTATATAATTATTTTTGTAAAAGATAATTAGGGGCAACATGTGAATTTGGCATCCTTTTCTTTCTTTCTCTCTCTCTCTCTCTCTCTTTTTTTTTTTTTAATTAAATGCATCATTCTTGCGTTATAATATGATATCGTAACCAAGTTTAAGTCTACGTGAAAAGACTTAATACATTTTGTGTATACAGATCTGATCGCTTCACGCGATGCATATTAATTAACGGCATACCAGCGAGAACCCAATTAAATATTTCAACAAGCCATTGAAATATTTTGTATAAATGTAATGTAAAACTTGGTCACGGAAAGATATACGACGCGTGAGAAACTCAAAATAATAGATTAGAAGCGCGTAAACATAGGCTGGAGATACACAGAAACACTTACAAGAACACGTACGACATAAACAGTAAGCGAACCAACCAATTATAGTCGAGAACGTAAGCAGAGACGGCCGATAATTGGTTGGTTGCTTGACTATGGTTTGATTTACTTACCGCTAAGATTTTTTTGCGTATCCCTTCGCAGTGATCGTCGCGTCAAGCGAATGAATTTAATCACGCGAGCTTCAAGGTGGCGATCAGTGAGCGCTGGCTCTCGCGACGTTGTAGTTCGAGCCAGCAAGTGATATACGCGTCGCAAATTATTTTATTTTCTCGGAGTGATTAAAATATTAATTAATTAGACTCTTGTGGATATTCTTTTATTTCATACGTGCATCTTCGTATCTACGCGAGCATTAGAGCATAGAGTGTTAGTGCTGCTATCAACGTGCAACGACGGAGCATCCAAAATGCTGGGTCGAGAAACCAAGGTGAACGACGAACGGCGAAGATTCTAGAAGGCCGAGCCTTCTACATAACGACGCATCATAAATTTTCAGGTGTGTCAAATCAATTATTATACAGATTTCCGTTTTTTACGGACGTTTGACAGACTTACCGAGAACTAGAAAATACCCGAATCGAAATTTAGGCTGGCATTCATAAATTGTCGTATATGACGGATAATTATAGCTTTATTAATTTTCGATCATTGGATAATCTATACTTGTATATGTTATATTATTTTATGCAAGAAATATTGCAAATACCGGAGTAACAGTTCGTGAATATGAATTAATTATGTTCTCAATCAAAGATCTTGAATAATTAACAATTATGAATACCGGCCTTAAAATACAATTTTATATATATATGTAAAATCTAAATTTTGTAAATTCTAATTTTTGTCTAATAATGCTTTTTGGACCGCGAGACCGACATTACACAGAGTCTTTTTTCTCATTGTCATTCTATTTATTATACGCGAACTCGAACTTAGATCTTTATTGATATATATATATAGCATTATTGGATGGGAACCGTTTTCTTTTACAGCTTTAAATAAAATCAATTCAATAAACTTTATATCAGTTCTTTTAAGAGCTATTTTCTAGTTATTTTAAATCTATCCTTTTGTCAGGTTATTAATATTCGTTTATCTCTCACCGTGCATAAATTGCACTTATATAAATATTATATTATACGTAGATGAATAAATTATATTATTAATAATTGTCAGAATCAGCAATTAGAATTTAGCAATTAGAATCAGCAATCAGAAATTAGAATAAAAATTAAATGCCACACAGATGAAAGGACAATGAGATAATCAAATATTACATAACCTTGAAATGACTTTCCTTTACGAATCAACATCGAGAGAATGACAGTACTCAACGTGAAGAAAACAGCAGTAAACAAATATTCGCGCAGGCAAGTAAATAGCTATATTATATCCTGATATTCTTTATGGACCTTTCAAGTTCGACGGAAATTGCAGGGTTAATATAGAATTAAAATTTCGACTCGGGGATACGTGATCGTGCTTTTTCGTCTTTGTAACAATTTTTCGTATTAATACAATCACAGTTGGCTCATTGCAAATCG